AGAAACCTCGGCTGTAAGGGGAGAGCTTGATGTATCTTTCTGTAAAAGCACGATGGCCGTCGATGTAGGTCAGGCCTGTGGAATATGACTAATCTTGTACAAATAATTTCCACCGTCATACTTATAAAAAGACGTTTTTAAAAAGTTATTTTTTTAGAATCACACTAAACTTATAGTCCCTAAACTATAAAGGGAAGGGGGGGGGGGGGTAAGATCGAGGCAGCAAATTCCCTGAGTGAGTCATCGTCTTGACGCGGGAGGGGGAGCGTCCTGAGCTGTAAGCACTCTGTTTTAATGAGGCTCTTTAATCCCTGGGCTACACGCGCACAGAATGTCCTTAAGATTGGTTATATTGTCTTGTCCATTTCTTTAGCTCAAGGCTTTTAAGATTGGTTATATTGTCTTGTCCATGTCTTTAGCACAAGGCTTTTAAGATTGGTTATATTGTCTTGTCCATGTCTTTAGCACAAGGCTTTTAAGATTGGTTATATTGTCTTGTCCATGTCTTTAGCACAAGGCTTTTAAGATTGGTTATATTGTCTTGTCCATGTCTTTAGCACAAGGCTTTTAAGATTGGTTATATTGTCTTGTCCATTTCTTTAGCACAAGGCTTTTAAGATTGGTTATATTGTCTTGTCCATTTCTTTAGCACAAGGCTTTTAAGATTGGTTATATTGTCTTGTCCATGTCTTTAGCACAAGGCTTTTAAGATTGGTTATATTGTCTTGTCCATGTCTTTAGCACAAGGCTTTTAAGATTGGTTATATTGTCTTGTCCATGTCTTTAGCACAAGGCTTTTAAGATTGGTTATATTGTCTTGTCCATGTCTTTAGCACAAGGCTTTTAAGATTGGTTATATTGTCTTGTCCATGTCTTTAGCACAAGGCTTTTAAGATTGGTTATATTGTCTTGTCCATGTCTTTAGCACAAGGCTTTTAATATGGCAGGAGGTGGGCTGGGTAGAGGATCATGTACACATGTTAAAAAACTATTTTTAGAAATTAAAAAAAAAACTATCTGTATAGGGTCGGTATGTGAATGAAATGTGAATAAAGGTCTGGTTTGTGTGACGTTTCTCGTGTATGTGGTGATGTATGTGGGGTCAGTGACATGAGTGTTTGGTTAAGTTGTATGTCAATATCGTACGTGTCCTGTGGCTAGTGCTAAAAGATACACTTTCGGAGTCTAGAAGAAACACAAGATACAATGGTCAATAGCGAGGCATATGCTACTGTCAAAATGTAACTTGCACGTTTCATTGCTCCATAGCTAGTCTTTCAGAGAACATGAAACCCACGAAATGTTCCATAGAATATCAAGCCCACAAAATGGTCTATAGAACATTAAACCCACAATTTTTTTTATAGAAATTTAGGGCTAAAATAGCTAGAACCAAAGAGACGTTTACAGTAGAGCTGAAACAGAAATAGCTGGGGACACAGGAATAGAAGTTTACAGTAGAGCTGAAATAGCTGGGGACACAGAAATAGAAGTTTACAGTAGAGCTGAAATAGCTGAGCTCCCAAATCGCGGGTCGGCGTGTCAGGCGCGCACACAGTAGCACGGGTGCAGTGTGAGCATGAATGAGTACTCACGATAAGATGCTACACCGCCGAGTTCAAAGGGGAAAAATTAAAACGGTGGGGCCGAGGCCCAATCTGAAATCTGTTGGAGTTGGGGCAAACGGAATCTTCAAACGATGTTTATGGCTGTTTTATATTCCAGTCAACTCCATAGGTCTCTAGGCTTTATCGTGGAGTCACGCGCTCTGTGTGGCGCTAAATCACTCACACCCCGTATCTTAGGCTACACACACCTCCATATCTTTGTCTCAACGTGAACACCCCCCTCCCCACCCCATCCTTGTCTCTATGTGAACACCCCACATATTTTTCGTCATGGATATTCCCATATCTTTAGCCATACCCCCACAGTCTAAATATCATCTATTTGGCTACATGTGGACCTTCCCCTATACCCCCCAAATATCATTTACTACATTTGGACATACCACTATTATCTTTAACCACATTTGAACACACCACTATACCTTTAACCACATTTGGACACACCACTATACCTTTAACCACATTTGGACACACCACTATACCTTTAGCTACAAGAACACACTTTCCCACACTACACAGTATAGAACAATGTGCCCAGGCACAAGAACATACGAAACTGCTTAACTAAATAAAGATGAAACTCAGTTTATAACGAAACAATTCAACAAAGTATGAATAATTAGTGAAGAAAATAAAACGCTGGAACTCCAGGGTCCAAGGTGACAAAGTTGAATTGCTTAATAGAAAGCTTACACTGAAATAGTTGACCGTCGTACAGCATAATGTTGGTGAAATGAAAATGGAAATAGCATTGAAAGCTATGGTTTTTATTTTAGTAATAGAATTATTGTTGTATTATTATTGAACAAAGTTGTCGTTTTCTATATGGGTCAGTATTTTCTACAGTTGTCTTGTCTCTATACGATACGGGTTTCAAATCGGGTCATCTTTTTATGACGTTTACACGGAGGGGAGTGGGGGGGAGGGGCGAAATTTCCAAACTGTTGAGGATGTCATAAATGAATGACCCCTATGACCCAGTGTCCCACAATTCCTATCAATGGGGAGGGTCAAGGGATACCTATGACCCACAACCTTTCATACATCAACCCCACCCTGTGTCCTGCCCACCCCCACCCCACGCCACCAACCCCACCCTGTCCCCCCCCCCCATATATGTTGTTATGTTTTATTGTGTCCACCATGCCACCAACCCCACCCTGTGTCCTGTCCACTCCTCCCCTGTATGTGCCCACCAACCCCACCCTGTGTCCTGTCCACTCCTCCCCTGTATGTGCCCACCAACCCCACCCTGTGTCCTGTCCACTCCTCCCCTGTATGTGCCCACCAACCCCACCCTGTGTCCTGTCCACTCCTCCCCTGTATGTGCCCACCAACCCCACCCTGTGTCCTGTCCACTCCTCCCCTGTATGTGCCCACCAACCCCACCCTGTGTCCTGTCCACTCCTCCCCTGTATGTGTCCACCAGCCCCACCCTGTGTCCTGTCCACTCCCTCCCCTGTATGTGTCCACCATGCCACCAGCCCCACCCTGTGTCCTGTCCACTCCCCCCCTGTATGTGTCCACCATGCCACCAGCCCCACCCTGTGTCCTGTCCACTCCCTCCCCTGTATGTGTCCACCAGCCCCACCCTGTGTCCTGTCCACTCCCTCCCCTGTATGTGTCCACCATGCCACAAGCCCCACCCTGTGTCCTGTCCACTCCTCCCCTGTATGTGCCCACCAACCCCACCCTGTGTCCTGTCCACTCCTCCCCTGTATGTGCCCACCAACCCCACCCTGTGTCCTGTCCACTCCTCCCCTGTATGTGCCCACCAACCCCACCCTGTGTCCTGTCCACTCCTCCCCTGTATGTGCCCACCAACCCCACCCTGTGTCCTGTCCACTCCTCCCCTGTATGTGTCCACCAGCCCCACCCTGTGTCCTGTCCACTCCCTCCCCTGTATGTGTCCACCATGCCACCAGCCCCACCCTGTGTCCTGTCCACTCCCCCCCTGTATGTGTCCACCATGCCACCAGCCCCACCCTGTGTCCTGTCCACTCCCTCCCCTGTATGTGTCCACCAGCCCCACCCTGTGTCCTGTCCACTCCCTCCCCTGTATGTGTCCACCATGCCACAAGCCCCACCCTGTGTCCTGTCCACTCCTCCCCGTATGTGTCCACCAGCCCCACCCTGTGTCCTGTCCACTCCTCCCCTGTATGTGTCCACCAGCCCCACCCTGTGTCCTGTCCACTCCTCCCCTGTATGTGTCCACCATGCCACCAGCCCCACCCTGTGTCCTGTCCACTCCTCCCCTGTATGTGTCCACCAGCCCCACCCTGTGTCCTGTCCACTCCCTCCCCTGTATGTGTCCACCATGCCACCAGCCCCACCCTGTGTCCTGTCCACTCCTCCCCTGTATGTGTCCACCAGCCCCAGCCTGTGTCCTGTCCACTCCCCCCTGTATGTGTCCACCAGCCCCACCTTGTGTCCTGTCCACTCCCTCCCCTGTATGTGTCCACCATGCCACCAGCCCCACCCTGTGTCCTGTCCACTCCTCCCCTGTATGTGTCCACCAGCCCCAGCCTGTGTCCTGTCCACTCCTCCCCTGTATGTGTCCACCAGCCCCACCTTGTGTCCTGTCCACTCCCTCCCCTGTATGTGTCCACCATGCCACCAGCCCCACCCTGTGTCCTGTCCACTCCCTCCCCTGTATGTGTCCACCAGCCCCACCCTGTGTCCTGTCCACTCCTCCCTGTATGTGTCCCCCAGCCAGCCATATTGTGACATGAGAGACACCCACTTTGTAAACACGGCCCCACCACTGTGTAGACGTGCCTGTGTTTACTGTTGCCACATAGGTTGTATTGAAATTTCTGACACACCATCCCATTGTTCCGCATTCATGCGCTTATTTTTGTTTTGTTTTAGAGTTTGCACACGATTTGTGTTTGTGTCCTGTTTCATTGTGCTGATAGACTTAAATATTTTTTTAAAACCCCGCCATTTTAAATAGTGCAATGTCATTTTTTTTTTAATTATGAAAGTCCAGCTATTTATTCCTTTAATTTATATACTTTGCGTCCTAATAGGCCTATAGATTATCTGAAAATTAACATGGCCTATATGTCAGGTGGCACAGGTATTTTATGGATTAAATCTGAATTAATGTGTTTCTATTTATATTGCTATATGACCATCTTGTTGAATCAAAACTCCAATGTTTCTATTTGCAGTGCTATGCCCACCTTGTTGACTAAAATCTCCAATGTTTCTATTTATATTGCTATATGCCCATCTTGTTGACTAAAATCTCCAATGTTTCTATTTGCAGTGTCATGCACATCTTGTAGACTAAAATCTCCAATGTTTCTATTTATATTGCTATATACCCATCTTGTTGAATCAAACCTCCAATGTTTCTATTTGCAGTGCCATGCGCATCTTGTTGACGAAGCTGCCCCGCCCCTGGATCGTGGACGAGAAGAAAGACGACGGCTACACAGCCCTGCACCTTGCCTCCCTCAACAACCACGTCGAGGTGGCCGAGCTGCTAGTGCATCAGGTATTTGCCTCAGCCTGGGGATCGAACCTTACTTCAGCAAAGCAGGGAGCTCTGTCCTAGATCTCTAGCTGTGGAGCTTCAACTTTGTGTTTACTTTGTGATTAACATGTTGGGATTTATTAGCAGAGGAAATTATTGTAGAAAAAATTATTGTAGAAAAAATTTATTGTAGAAAAATAAAATTATGTTTATAAATCCTGTTAACCATAAACATAATCAGTGGACCCCAACCATTGAACTCTATCATGAGACACCATTAGCACACTCTTGTAGGAAACAATACTGAATCTCTGTAAACTGTTGATGGAACTAATTAACCTGCTTAACCCTTGTGTGACAACACTTTTAATTGCCTTTAATTAACCCAAACCCTCATCAAAACATTGGTCACAACAATAAACCCAACCCTCATCATACACAATAAACCCAAACCTCATTACACAATTTGCAACAATAAACCCAGCCCTAAATACAGTTTGCAGCATTTAACCCAACCCTCAGTACAACTCTTGCAACAACAAAAAACCAACCCTATTACACAGTTAACACCAATAAATCCGATTACACCACTTGCACCACTAAACCCAACCCTGACACACCACCAAGCACCCCACCAGCTTGATGAGGAAGAGACGTAAACCCCCACACTGATTCTATTTCCACTCACGTCTTCTTTCCATCACGCTGGTCACCAAGCATGGCACAAAGTCCAGCCAAGACCCAACCACTCAGCCTCCTAGCCACACACCAGCTAAAGCAGTAAGTACAAAAACTTTTCTCACACCCCGGTCTAGAAGAGCTCCTGTGGCCACCATCTTGTCCACTAGACAGTCACCATCACAGTTTTCTGTACGCCATTCATTGACAATCTGACATAGATGTAGAGTAGAAATGTTTTCTGTATCAGATTTAGACCAGTCTACATGTAAACAAAAATATGCTCAATGTAGTTTTTGGGGTATGTCATACCGTGTCCAAAAATTATATAATAATAGAATCTTCTTAAAATAGGGGTGTTTGATTACTAGAAGTAAATTAAAAACAAATACAACCTGCTAGTCTCAATGCTAACCCTAACCCAAGTTCAACCATAACCCTAACCCAAAATTTTTACCATATCACTAGATCTGAGATTACAAACCACCTAACACACCTATTTTCGGAAGAGCCTATTGTCAGACACTGGTACCCCCAATGCCCCTTGTTGTATAACGTGGAAGCTGCTCAGGCTTGACCAGGTCCTCTTGTCTTCTGTTCTCCAGGGCAAGGCCAACATGGACATCCAGAACGTCAACCTGCAGACCCCCCTCCATCTGGCAGTGGAGAGACAGCACACACAGATTGTTCGAGTAGGTTTTGTCACTGACGTGTCACCCTGATTACTGACATCACGCAACACTCACTGAGATTAAGCTCTGACACCCCACAGCTGTCTCTAAAATGTCACTCTACTGTCACTGACATGCAAACCAATTGTCACTGACGTTGCATAACTATCAATGACATGCCCACAATTTTCGCTCACATGTAATATAACCGTTACTGACATGCCACCCAGTCATCACTGACATGTACCCTACTTTCACTGACATGCTCTAATTGTCACTGGTGTGTCACACAACTGTCACTTAAATGCCACCCAGCTCTCACATCCCACAGCTGTCTCTAAAATGTCACTCTACTGTCACTAAAATGCCCCCAGTTGTCACTGACATGTCACATAACTGTCACTGACATGTCACCCATCCCTAACCTGGTACACCCATCCCTAACCTGGCACACCCTGTGTCCACAGCTGCTGGTCAGAGAGGGCTGTAACCTGAACATTCCTGACAAGGACGGGGACACGCCCCTCCACGAGGCCTTGAGACACCACACGCTCTCACAGCTGCGCCAGCTCCAGGACATGCAAGACGTCGGCAAGGTACGACACCTCACCTGTCAGGTGGCAGTGTGACACTACACCTGTCATATGGCGCTAACATCTATCATGTGGCAGTACTTTGCTAATGCCTATCACAGACACAGAATTCTGAAATAAGGAATTGTTACCTTAAGTTTACCTGTGATTTTGATCACCTAACCCAATAACTATAACCAGGGTAATGCTAACTTCAATAGTCACAAGCTGTATTTAGCAGGCTAGTCACAAGCTGTATTTAGCAGGCTAGTCACAAGCTGTATTTAGCAGGCTAGTCACAAGCTGTATTTAGCAGGCTAGTCACAAGCTGTATTTAGCAGGCTAGTCACAAGCTGTATTTAGCAGGCTAGTCACAAGCTGTATTTAGCAGGCTAGTCACAAGCTGTATTTAGCAGGCTAGTCACAAGCTGTATTTAGCAGGCTAGTCACAAGCTGTATTTAGCAGGCTAGTCACACACATATGAGTTGTCATAAAACTTCTGGAGAACCATTGCCTTACATTGACCATAAAGTTTAATATGACTGACAGTCCTAGTCAGTCATTTTTCCTTAAAAATATGTTTGGATTTATGAGTAAAATGTTTTATTTTATATTAGAAACACAAAGTGACTTGTTTTTTTTTTATATAGCTGTAGCTAAGTTTTAAAACTTCATATCAAATGGCAAAAAGTATAGAGTGATTCATAACCCTTTAAAAACATATTTCATTTTTTTTCCATCAGGTTTTAAAAAAAATTATTTTTATCTACGTTAATGCTTATAACATGTGGTGATAAGATTTTCTTTGGTGCATTTTGTTTTTAAATTTTTAAAAATAAAATACAACTAAAAAATCACCATAGAGTAGGCCTAAGTGTTGTTGTAAAACATATTCAAGCACCTGTTTTTAAAATAAATGTTGACTTTGATCAGATATTTTTGTTTTGGGAACGCATGAAGTTTGTAACATGAACTGAAATCAACAACTTGCTCCTGCAGCTGCTGATGGGGCTGGGGACACCTGGGGCGGATAAGAAATCCAGCGCATCCATTGCCTGCTTCCTGGCTGCCAACGGAGCCGACCTCAATCTGAAGAACAAAAAGGGGCAGACACCGCTGGACCTGTGCCCAGACCCCAACCTGTGCAAGGCCCTGGCGAAATGTCACAAGGAGAGAAACAGGTTGGAGGGGAGGGAGAGATGGCATTTGTAGAGTAGAATAGTTAACTAGGCCATGAGGGATATTTATAAAACACTTAACTGGGTTATTTGTATAATTTAATGAAATATAACTAACACTTAATTAGGTCATTAGAATTACTAACAGAATAAAACACTCAACTATAGAATCATGTATAGAACAAAATATTTGGAACTTAGAGAATAGAATAATTTCTACAATAGAATATTTAACTGGGTCCTTAGAAGCATTTATACAATAGAACACAGAACTAGGATTAATTTTTAAAATAGAAGAAAAAAGTGTTGAGCAATACCTTTAAAACAAAAAATAAAAGTTTAGATAACACATAAACCTTACAACTGACTTATAATAGGAAAGGGGTAATCATCATTTGTAGGATACACTATGTGGGGTAATCATCATTTGTAGGATACACAATGTGGGGTAATCATCATTTGTAGGATACACAATGTGGGGTAATCATCATTTGTAGGATACACAATGTGGGGTAATCATCATTTGTAGGATACACATTGTGGGGTAATCATCATTTGTAGGATACACACCCTAACCCCCTACACCAAACACCCTAACCCTACACCAAACACCCTAACCCTACACCAAACACCCTAACCCAACACCAAACACCCTAACCCTACACCAAACACCCTAACCCAACACCAAACACCCTAACCCTACACCAAACACCCTAACTCTACACCCAACACCAAGAACCAAACACCCTTACCCAACACCCTAACCCAATACCAAACACCCTAACCCAACACCAAACACCCTAACTCTACACCAAACACCATTACCCAACACCCTAACCCAACACCAAACACCCTAACCCAACACCCTAACCCAACACCAAACCCCCTAACAAAACACCCAACACCCTAACCCAACACCAAACACCCTAACCCAGGGGTTCCCAACCCCGTGCCCGCAGGAGCCATGGCGCCCGCCGAACAATTCGTATGTGCCCGCCTCTCACTATTCGACAGAGACAGAATTTTTTTCATAAACATTGTTGAAGGGGATGGAAATCAAAAGTTTGAGGGGGGGAGGGTGTGCAAATCGAAAGTTTTGTCCCCGGGAAGAGTGGCTACGCCTCTGGAAGGAGTTTGTCGATTTAAATTAGGTGGTGCCCGCCACCCTACCGATATTTTAGAATGTGCTCTAGAGTAAAAAAAGGTTGGGAACCCCTGCCCTAACCCAACACCAAACACTTAACACCCTAACCCTACACCCAACACCCTAACCCAACACCCTACACCAAACACCCACCACACTAACCACTCTATCAACTTTCCAGCCCTGCCCTGACGGCACCAAACGCTGCCATTATCCGCAATGACCAGGAGAGTCTGGAGGAGTGCATGGTCTGCTCAGACCAGAAGAGGGACACGCTGTTTGGACCCTGCGGACACATCTGCACCTGCTCACTCTGCTCACCCAGGGTCAAGAAGTGCCTCATGTGTAAAGACCCTGTACAGTCCAGGACAAAGGTCAGTGGAGGGGAGGGAGGGTTTGGCACAATTGTTTTTTATTAGCACACTACGCTGTCTGTTGTAACAATGTTTTTTGTTGAGTCTGGGGACAACTGAGGTCTATTTGAAATAGCCCACTCACTGCTTTCACAATAGTTTATGTTGAGTCTGTTTTTATCTGGCCAATATGGTGGTTACAGAGAGAGAACATTGGATGGGGGGGGGGGGGGGCTTATCATATTTAGTGTAAATGTAACACTGGTTAATGGGCCTTATTGGTTGTAGGTTTAAAATAATAAAAACTGTAAACTTGTTTGTCTAAAATAAAGTTTAGTTTTAGTTTTACTAGTTTATAAATCTGTGTTTGTATTGTGTTTTGATGTTGTATTGTATAAGTTTGTTGTGTTGTGATCTAATGTTGTATAGAAACCTAATGTTGTATTATGATCTTATGTTGTATTGTAACGTAAAGTTGTATTGGGATCAATGTTGTATTATATCTAGTGTTGTATTATGATCTAATGTTGTATTGAGACTTAATGTTGTATTGTGATCTAATATTGTGTTGAGATCTAATGTTGTATTGTGATCTGTTATATTATGATCTAATGTTGTATTGTGATCTGTTGTATTCTGATCTAATGTTGTGCTGTGATCTGTTATATTATGACCTAATGTTGTGTTGAGACCTAATGTTGTATTGTGATCTAGTGTTCTATTCTGATCTAATGTTGTTCTGTGTTCCCTTACAGATTGAGGAATGTGTTGTGTGTTCTGACAAGAAAGCCACTGTACTCTTTAAGCCTTGTGGCCACATGTGTGCTTGTGATGGTAAGTGTCCTTCACTCTTGACCAGTCCTTTATCCCTCTTGACGTCCCAGCCACTCACTCTTGACCAGTCTTTTATCCCTCTTGACCAGTTTCAGTCCCTCACTCTTGACCAGTCCCAGTCCCTCACTCTTGACCAATCTCAGTCCCTCACTCTTGACCAGTCCTTTATACCTCTTGACCAGTCCCTTATACCTCTTGACCAGTCCCAGTCCCTCACTCTTGACCAGTCCCAGTCCCTCATTCTTGACCAGTCCCAGTCCCTCATTCTTGACCAGTCCCACTCCCCTCTCTCTTGACCAATCCAAGTCCCTCATTCTTGACCAGTCCCAGTCCCTCAGTCTTGACCAGTCCCAGTCCCTCCCTCTTGACCAGTCCCACTCCCCTCTCTCTTGACCAATCTCAGTCCCTCATTCTTGACCAGTCCCACTCCCTCACTCTTGATCAGTCCCAGTCCCTCAGTCTTGACCAGTCCCAGTCCCTCCCTCTTGACCAGTCCCACTCCCCTCTCTCTTGACCAATCTCAGTCCCTCATTCTTGACCAGTCCCAGTCCCTCACTCTTGACCAGTCCCAGTCCCTCTGTCTTGACCAGCTCTTCTCTGTAAAGTTTGTGATGTGTCTAGACCAGTCCTATAGCAGTAAGATAGCCAGATGTCCTCACCCCCCCCCCCCCCCTATAGATGTAAACAAACAAGGGGGCTGAGTGATTGAACCAATGTTTAGGTTATGTTGGCAGTCTACCAATAGCTTTTAGCTGTACAAATAGGCTAAGATTAAACAATGTCAAATGTAAGTACTTGTCATATAAAGCTTATTTTGGATACATTTTCAATAGTTTTTTTTTTCTTTCCTTATCCGAATGTTCTTAATTACACAATGGTATAATTACTCAATTTGGTCTAATGCTGTTTAATTTCATTTTAGGTTTTTAAGAAGAATTTATACTATATCACTGCATAGATAGTTTGTTTTGATCTAGCCGTTAAAGAAAAAAAGCTATTAGAATAATTATTTGAACCAAATCTTTTGACAGGCTGTGCTAACCTGATGAAGAAATGTGTTCAATGCCGAGCTTCTATTGAGAAGACAATACCATTCATTGTTTGCTGTGGTGGGACACGTAAGTTTCTTCTCAATTTCTGATTTATAATTGTACTCTACTGTAGTGATATGCAAGAATAAGTTTTAAATTGATTGTAGTGGAGGGGTTTTGGTGGGTACAGTGGGTTGGGTTTTGGGTGGGTACAGTGGGTTGTGTTTTGGTTGGGTACAGTGGGTTGGGTTTTGGTGGGTACAGTGGGTTGGATTTTGGTGGGTACAGTGGGTTGTGTTTTGGTGGGTACAGTGGGTTGGGTTTTGGTGGGTACAGTGGGTTGTGTTTTGGTGGGTACAGTGGGTTGGGTTTTGGTGGGTACAGTGGGTTGGGTTTTGGTGGGTACAGTGGGTTGGGTTTTGGTAGGTACAGTGGGTTTTGGTTGGGTACAGTGGATGGGGTTTTGGGTGGGTACAGTGGATGGGGTTTTGGTTAGGTACAGTGGATTGGACTTTGGGTGGGTACAGTGGGTTGGGTTTTGGTTGGGTACAGTTGGCTGGGTTTTTGGTTGGGTACAGTGGGTTGGGTTCTAGTTGTGCACTATTGTATATTCTGTGAACCTTGTATCTGCCCCCCAGCGCCACCTGAGCCTCAGAAACCTGGCATCATGAACAACGGCTCCCGCGATGTCAGCCGCGACATTCAGAAGCTCCAGCAACAGCTGCAGGACATCAAGGACCAGGTCAGTTGGGGCACAGGACTTTTGGCAGGGTAGTCAGGTGGCCAAAGTTGGCAGGGTCAGGGTAGTCAGATGGCCAAAGTTGGCAGTGTCAGGGTAGTCAGGTGGCCAAAGTTGGCAGGGTCAGGGTAGTCAGGTGGCCAAAGTTGGCAGTGTCAGGGTAGTCAGACGGCCAAAGTTGGCAGTGTCAGGGTAGTCAGGTGGCCAAAGTTGGCAGGGTCAGGGTAGTCAGGTGGCCAAAGTTGGCAGGGTCAGGGTAGTCAGATGGCCAAAGTTGGCAGTGTCAGGGTAGTCAGGTGGCCAAAGTTGGCAGTGTCAGGGTAGTCAGGTGGCCAAAGTTGGCAGGGTCAGGGTAGTCAGATGGCCAAAGTTGGTAGTGTCAGGGTAGTCAGGTGGCCAAAGTTGGCAGGGTCAGGGTAGTCAGATGGCCAAAGTTGGCAGTGTCAGGGTAGTCAGGTGGCCAAAGTTGGCAGTGCCAGGGTAGTCAGATGGCCAAAGTTGGCAGTGTCAGGGTAGTCAGATGGCCAAAGTTGGCAGTGCCAGGGTAGTCAGATGGCCAAAGTTGGCAGTGTCAGGGTAGTCAGGTGGCCAAAGTTTTTACAGGAGTGAACTAGTCCTATTGGTTGAGCACACTTAAATTTAAAAAATGATATGATAAGAAATGAGATAAGGACCCAAAATATAAATAACCTGATGATCAATAGGGCAGGGGAAGTAGAATTCACCTGTTTCTGTGACATTAGCATATAAAAGGTAGTGTGGTCAGCAGTATGCCCAGATGCCCTTACTTTCCCTAACTTGTCAGGTATCAATTTGGAGCTGGGTGGACTTGTATCTACTACAGACTTGAGCCTTGTATACAAACCCAAGACTTTTGAGTTAGCAATCATCCACTTTACCTCCCGGCCACACTGCACTATATAAATAACCATTGCTCTAACTCACAATCTGATGGTACTTAAGAAAATTGTTCTTACTCCCAATCAAATGGTACCATATAATATTGCTATTACTACCCTGATGTACTTTAGAATATTGCTCTAATTCCCAATCTGGTGGTACCTTAGAATATTGCCCAATCTGGTGGTACCTTAGAATATTTCCTAATCTGGTGGTACCTTAGAATATTGCTCAATCTGGTGGTACCTTAGAATATTGCTCAATCTGGTGGTATCTTAGAATATTGCCCAGTCTGGTGGTACCTTAGAATATTGCCCAATCTGGTGGTACCTTAGAATATTGCTCAATCTGGTGGTACCTTAGAATATTGCTCAATCTGGTGGTACCTTAGAATATTGCTCAATCTGGTGATACCTTAGAATATTGCCCAATCTGGTGGTACCTTAGAATATTGCCCAATCTGGTGGTACCTTAGAATATTGCTCAATCTGGTGATACCTTAGAATATTGCCCAATCTGGTGGTACCTTAGAATATTGCCCAATCTGGTGGTACCTTAGAATATTGCTCAATCTGGTGGTACCTTAGAATATTGCTCAATCTGGTGATACCTTAGAATATTGCCCAATCTGGTGGTACCTTAGAATATTGCTCAATCTGGTGGTACCTTAGAATATTGCCCAGTCTGGTGGTACCTTAGAATATTGCCCAATCTGGTGGTACCTTAGAATATTGCCTAATCTGGTGGTACCTTAGAATATTACCCAATCTGGTGGTACCTTAGAATATTGCCCAGTCTGGTGGTACCTTAGAATATTGCCCAATCTGGTGGTACCTGCCCAATCTGGTGGTACCTTAGAATATTGCCTAATCTGGTGGTACCTTAGAATATTGCCCAGTCTGGTGGTACCTTAGAATATTGCCCAATCTGGTGGTACCTTAGAATATTGCCCAATCTGGTGGTACCTTAGAATATTGCCCAGTCTGGTGGTACCTTAGAATATTGCCCAATCTGGTGGTACATTGGAATATTGCCCAATCTGGTGGTACATTAGAATATTACCCAATCTGGTGGTACATTGGAATATTACCCAATCTGGTGGTACCTTAGAATATTGCTCAATCTGGTGGTACCTTAGAATATTTCCTAATCTGGTGGTACCTTAGAATATTGCCCAATCTGGTGGTACCTTAGAATATTGCCCAATCTGGTGGTACCTTAAAATATTGCCCAATCTTGTGGTACCTTAGAATATTTCCTAATCTGGTGGTACCTTAGAATATTGCCCAATCTGGTGGTACCTTAGAATATTACCAATCTGGTGGTACCTTAGAATATTGCCCAATCTGGTGGTACCTTAGAATATTGCCCCATCTGGTGGTACCTTAGAATATTGCCCAATCTGGTGGTACCTTAGAATATTACCAATCTGGTGGTACCTTAGAATATTGCCCAATCTGGTGGTACCTTAGAATATTTCCTAATCTGGTGGTACCTTAGAATATTTCCTAATCTGGTGGTACCTTAGAATATTGCCCAATCTGGTGGTACCTGCCCAATCTGGTGGTACCTTAGAATATTACCAATCTGGTGGTACCTTAGAATATTGCCCAATCTGGTGGTACCTTAGAATATTTCCTAATCTGGTGGTACCTTAGAATATTGCCCAATCTGGTGGTACCTGCCCAATCTGGTGGCACCTTAGAATATTACCTAATCTGGTGGCACCTTAGAATATTGACCAATCTGGTGGCACCTTAGAATATTGCCCAATCTGGTGATACCTTAGAATATTGCCCAATCTGGTGGTACCTTAGAATATTGCCCAATCTGGTGATACCTTAGAATATTGCCCAATCTGGTGGTACCTTAGAATATTGCCCAATCTGGTGGTACCTTAGAATATTGACCAATCTGGTGGCACCTTAGAACTTTGCCCTGATGTACCTCGTAATGTTCCAGACGTGCTGCCCAGTGTGTATGGACAGGCTGAAGAACATGATCTTCCTGTGCGGCCATGGAGCCTGCCAGCTGTGTGGTGACCGGCTCAATGAGTGCCCCATCTGTAGGAAATCTGTGGAGAAGAGGATCCTGCTCTATTGAGTCATAGGTGGCCAAACATAAACCTTCTGACATATCTGGCCTAATAAACATTGTAATACATGGACACAGTATGAATGTAAGCTATGTACAGGTGATGGATATAAAACTCAAGATGATAAATGACCCATTCAAAAACAAATTGTACTTAATTTGGTCATCTTGGATTTTATAGTTCCCAGTCATACCTGTGAGCTCATTAGTTACATCAGATGTGGTCATATACATTTGTCAGCTCTAGTGGTCAAATGTGGTCTTTAATGTTTGTGGTCTTGTGAGCTAGACATTTTTTAAATGTGTTTCGGATTTTGATGTGTAAATTGTAAACATGTTGAGTTATAAATAGAATTCTCCACATGGTTGGTAGACAACAGTTAACGTGGGATTTAAGTATTTGAATATTGTTTGTGTTTTATTGTCCTTCCCATATCATGTACAAAATACACTTGCCATCATCTGTTTTTTGTACAATGTTTTTTGCCTGGCTTATTGAAGATTAAATCTTAAAAAGACTACAATACCTCTCCTTAGTAAAATTGTTTATATAGTCCATGATTATCCGTAGAACTGCCATTAAAATTTAGGTGCTTCCTTTTAATTTATTGATATATATTTATTTTTACATATATATGTATAGTCCTTAAACTATATGTGTATATGTAGTTGGTTCAGATAACTAGAAAAAAATCTGACCTGAAATGTTCTGGTTCCAAAAAATGGAGGGACGCCTATAATTTCAATAAAGCTGATAAAATAATGCCTGGTTTCAAGAGTTAATCTTCATGGATTAGATCATGATAGGACATGTGGCAGGATTAGGGGTGTGACAGCTGGAGACAGGCTATTGTTTGGTGACAGGTTAGACATCCTAATTTCATCAAGACAAAAATTGTAGGCAGTGGAGGAAAAAAAAACTGAAAACCAATTAATTTTTTATACTGACTTCCTATATTTTTCTTTCATGTGTAAAAAAATGTATTTTTATTTGTCAAACTGTGGTTTGTGTTGTAAGCAAGAAATCTATCATTCAATATTGTGTTGATTGTAGTTGATGCTTTTTTTTATAATGCAACTTAACTTGTTACATAAGTAAAACACAAGTATCGGATAACTGGCTTTAATAGCCACTATTTGCCGGTCACATTAAAATAAACATCACCTCATATAATTGAACACAATTTACAATTATGATCCAATTATTTTTATGTAAAAACTTACTGAATTTTTGGTACAATTATTGCAATGTTTAACAATGCTTATGAATAACTTTAATAAAGATCTTTACTATATGCATATCCTACTAGTAATAAGGAATGAATGATATCAAATGTCTGTATATTCCACAACAAAAGTTATTAAAGAATGGAAATTTTTAATAGCTATTTTCTATAAATAGATGTTGATTTGTCCCCATTGTCCATTGGTTGTTTATTTTCAACCTGCTATCCATTTTTTCGCTAATTTAATTTAATTCACATTGTGTATTTCCCATTTCTTTGCTTTGTCTTTCATGCATGCATTAAATTAATGAGTTAGCCAAGTGCTACTTGTAGCCAGTATCTCATGGCATTTCCTGGTGTGTAACCTGTGCATTTGCGTATTTTTATCATTTCTGCCTAAACCATTTTTTTTTCATGTGAAGTGTTTAAAAAAAATTTTAATCTGTAACTTAATATCAAATGGCTTTGTAATACATGAAAGTATTTTTATTGTATTAAAAACAATTGTATGTGCTGTTACCAAAAAACGTCCTAAAAATCCCCATATTATTCAAATGATTTTGTTAGGCAAACTACTTTTTTTATCATTTTCATATTAAAGCCTTTCCTTAATTGTCTAAGGATGTTCTGCAAAAATAACTTACAAATATAAATTTTCTCTACTTCATTGTGTAATGAACTGAGATAAAAATAATTATACTTTAACTGCACTATGTCATTCAGATGAAACCTGATTTATGTAAAACTTCATGTGTCTGTTAATAATTTTTTAGTTTTAGTTGTAACAAAAAGCCATTAAACCAGGGCCTTGACATTTAACCCACATCTAGTCCATGCTTTGTAAATTTATCGTCAAATTCATTATAACATATTTGTTATTTCTGATATTTTTAGAACTGTCGTATTAAGTATTAAAATTTGGGGTGTGTGGTTATAGGAATTTTTTTGTGTTTTGCATGTTAGTTGTCAATTGGCAATAATTATGATACATAGTCTGCTTAAAAAAATAATTTACGAGATATTTTTTAAAGGTCTGTTAAAAAGAAAAGAATTTTCTAGATATTTCTGAAACATTTCGAAAATATCAAGAAAATTTTCTTAGACATGTTTGTGCTGTGTTATATATTTTTTTTAATTTGATAACTTCTAAAAAATAAATGAACTATTTCATTATAGCATTTCAAATACGATGTTTTGAATGTTGAAAATTTACAAACAATTCGATTATTAGAAATCTATTATTTAATTCAGATTTCTTTTATTCTTTAAATTATCAAAAGATTTAAACAGAGGATTATTATATTTTTTTACCATATGTTTCTTGTTAAAATATATTTTTTTTAGTTTTTAAAGCCACTGCTAGTAACCTTGTCTAAAATCTAATTTTGGTTTCGTACTTGGGTTTTAGCTATTTCTCACTGGCCAAGTTACCCTCTGTTTTTATGGACCTCACTAGTCAGATAGTTGCCAGATTTCCACTGACTACTGCCAAATTTTTTATTTGTCAAAATAATGATTTGATGGCAGTAAGTTTGAGCAAAATTTTACATCACATGTAAAAGTCCTTGGCAGAAAAACAATTTTTTTTTGTTTTCAACGTGGAAGATTATTGTAGGATGCTACATTTTCCTATTTAGTTTTTGTTTCATCAACAGTTGTATTAAATTTATAAAACCATTATCATATTTAGCATATTGCATTCATTAATTGTAAATATGATTTTGGATATTCAAATGGAAACTAATTTATTACAATTCATTTTTAACAAGATTTTAGTAACAACCTTATTTACAGTTCCTAGTAAAAACAACTGCACAGTATAGTTGTTTTACAACTATATGATAGAAAGTGGTAGTATGCCATCATTAAAATCTTGTATTTTTAAATTGTGACTACAAAAAAACTGGACTAACTAATGAAAATCAAATTGACATGCTTATATTAATTTTAAAAAATTGTATGTACTGTTTTGTTTTATTTATGTGTACGTAGTGTAGGGCATGATTTACATTGTAATTTGATTTCTGGCTTTTTTTAAACAAAACATCTAATAAAATTTTGAAGCATACCAACTTTCTTCCACCCTGTTCTTTTTTAATGTACTGACCTTCAGGCATCTTGATAGACTGTGGGTCGCGACTGCCAGAGGGGTTGCAAAGAACTTTCTGGGGGGGGGGGGTCGCCAACTGTTAGACTAAACAATGCGTACTGTGCTAAGTTGTTCTTCGTGATGAGTCTATGAAACCTTCAAAACTAAAACGTCATTTTGAGACAAGTCATTTGGAACACCCCCAAAAAAAATGGAGTTTTTTCGTCGACATGAAGCTAGTTGCTAACATCAGAGACTTGATTGAGCATGAACTTTTCACCAAGAAAACACAGTATTAGTGCAAACATCAAATGAACTCACATTAGAAATTGTCAAGCAAAAAAAAAAAAAAAAAAAAAACTCACAACTCTGCATGTTGAAGATGGTGAAATTAATTCTTGGGGATTCCAGGGCAATAAATGCAATGCAACAAATATCTCTTTCTAATATAATATTCAGTGGCTTATAGCAGACATCCATAGATGTTAAAGAACAAATTTTTAATTAAATCAAACTTTCACCAAACTTTTCAAGTTGATGAATCAACAGACATCACATCGTGTTCGCAGTTAGTTGTCATTGTGAAATATATTCATTCCGATGATAGCAAAGAATAGTTGCTATTTTGTGAAGACATCACAGAGAAAAAAAAATACGCTTTTTGAAACAGGATGATTTAAATGGGAAGACAGCTGTGGGGTTTGTATGGATAAATAAATATATGAAAGAGGAGATTTCTGGGCATCTTGAATCTCTTGAAAACGCACTGCTGCATTATTTCCCTGAGCTGAAAGAAGAAGAAACTGCATGGTTCCCTTGATGCTGGCATTCTTGATGAATTACAAGATGAGTTCTTAAATTTGTGGAATGATTCAGAGTTGCCTCAGATGAAAAACTGCTCACACAATTTTGGTGTAGTATGCACCATTCATACCCTTAATGTGAAATTGACTGCCTTTTGAGTTTTAGTACCTTTTATGTCTACATATCTTTGTGAGAACACTACTCCAATTAAAACAAAACAAAGAAATTAAATGTTGAGAATGACATGAGGTTGGCGCTAACAAAAACTCAACCACGAATGTTGATGCTAGATAATAGCATGCAATTTTACTCATCGTATTAAAACAGTTATCAGGAATAATTCATATTGAAAGTCTACTAGAAAATCTAATTTTGGAGCTAAGGGGGGGGGGGGGGGGAGGGTGTCGTGGGTCACTTACTTTTTATCAAAGGGGTTCGCCACTCAAAAAAGTTTGGGAACCACTGTGCTAGACTGTTCCCACATGTAAATTCCTTACTTTAATAACTAGTTTGGTGAAAATGCTCCTCTATAAAAAAAAGTTTATTTTACAAACCACTTTCAATATAAACAATTCGAAAAGATATTAGTGTCACTTTTAGCAATTAGTAGAAGTACACAATTTCTCTAAAGAAAATGCAACTCGGATGTTAACTTAGAAGTTGTATGAATATTTTAAAAATTTATTCCAATTTTTATGCATTTACACTTTTTACAAAATAATATATCACAAGACATTTTCAATGCAGCAGTCAATGGTAATTGATGATTAGAAATTTAATTTAAAGCAAATAGAACCGAAATGTTTTCAGGAAAAAAAAAAAAAAAACCCAAAAAAATGTGGAGTTTATGCAGTTTTGATTTAAATTAAATTTCAGAAAGCAGAAAGCATGCTAAAAATAGTTTATCTTTTTAAGAACCAAAAGAATTACATTTACAAATTGTTTGTGACTAGATAGTACATTGTAGTATTTGTGTAAGGAAGCAGTCACTTTGTAAGTACAGAATACTCAAAATATCAGACATGCCAAGTATTTCTGGTTAAGTAAACATATTTGAAACCTAACACAAAGTAATTCATAAAAATTTTAAGTAACAAATTTACTGTTACCATACATAAATTTTCTGTTTCCTTACATGTAAACCAAGTATTGTATATTGCATATATATATATATATATATATATATATATATATATATATATATATATATATATATATATATATATATATATTAGTTATGTTTAGATTTACAATTTGACAGGGATTTTAATTTTCTACATCATCATTTTAAAAACTTACATTTGGATGATGATAAATCTTAAACCACTGATTCAAAAGTACTCAATACATTAAAAAAAAAAACAACTTCAAAACTGTAGAAAATCTAATATTTTCTTTATACCAAAGGGAAACCACAAAATAAATCAGTGAATTTTCTGTATTTTCCTTTTGATTCAATAAATCACAATCTGAATTATGATTTTTTTATCTACAATAATTAGTGTTCATTAATTTTTTAAAAAAATGAAATATTGCCATTTCTTTTTATGATCAGTAACACTGTGAATGAAATATATAGTGAAAGAATACTTTAAGTCAACTTTTTATCTTTAAGACTTCAAAAAAAAGTAACAATTAGTGGAAAAGTAACAACAAAAAAAGAATTGGAGTAACAGCTTATTCTAACAAAGGTTTTTTGTTGAGGTTTTTTTAAAAACATTTTATTAGTTAAAAAGAAAAAATCCTGTGAAGACTCAGAAGAGTTAAAATACAGCAGAAACAAATAGCTAATTAAAATAAAGTATTAAAATTAATTAATTTTTTAACATCAGTCACCTTTTTTCAAAATCCTACATATCTTTCGATAAAAATTTCAGACACTCAGCTGATACCAAACTAATTAACAGCAGTCTTAACCAATTTCCTGAGTTGAATATACTTAATCACAAGTATTAGCTCAAATATAGTCTGTGGAAACATGCTCATTTATACAAAACCCCTTTTTAATTTACTTTATCACAATTATCAACTCAAAAATATTAACATCAGAATTCCTCATGATTTACAGTATCACAAAATTGTTACAAAATACATCAAACTAATATTTTTTTATACCTGACACAAACTATGATGTGCAGCTGGAATTCAAAATGACAATTTGTATATAAATATATAAATCAATATAAAAACTTAGGCTCTCTTATCAATTATGTAGAAAAAAAATTAAAACAATAAAATTTATTATAAAATTTAAAATTTACATCAGGCACTTACTGGAAAATCAGAATGTTTAACTTATTTCTATAAATAATAATATTAAATTTGAATTGCTAAAATGCAGTATGTTATTTGACATAACATAATCATGTTTGTATGTTTAAAACTCTCCTCTGGAATATTTATTTCAGAGCTAAAAAGTTGTGCAATTAATAAAATAAAATTTTCCCATGATAGACTGGCAGATTCTAGGGACTATTATACATCACACAATGGTTTCAAAATACATCTATGTATCTGAACAACACTGAGTCAAGCTTCTACTTAACTTACTAAGATGTACATACACACATCCACTTTAAAATTACATAACCCTGACAACCAAGATATAGTCTGTAACTGAGTTTAAAACCTTCTGTGTAGATTTTCTCTATTAATAAAGAAAATGTTTTCAGTTGAGTGAATTTCCCCCCTGTAAATATTTCTGTCCTGGTCCATCTGGAAGCAAAGGGTCCTCTTCACTGCTGCCTATCTCTGGGCTATCTTTATCTGGCTCAGCTTGTTGGGCCAGCAGGAGTTTTTGTTTTTTGCTGATATTTAAAATACCACTCTGTTGGGGAAAACATAATGGCTGGTTAATGGGTGGGGGTAACAAAGGAGGGAGCTTTAGCTAATATGTGAGGTATATGGGGGTAACAAGGGAGCGACATTTGGTTAATGTGTGGAGTTTATGGGGGTAACAACGGAGCGACATTTGGCTAATATGTGGGGTATATGAGGGTAACAATGTGGCTAATGTGTGGGGGTATATGGGGGTAACAAGTGGACATTATTTGGCACATAAAATCTACTGACAATCACTTAGGTATAAGAAGATCATTGATCTACAAATCTATAATATCAAAATTACACTATTTTTGTATTAGCCAGCTAATACAATTCACTGACTAAAAAATCACACAGATGTCATAGTTCATGTAAGACTGGCTCTCTAAATGGGAAAACATTTTACCATATCTTAAACTTACCTTGCGTCTGTCATTCACATTAAGGAAAAATGTTGCAGCTATGCAGCAGATAGTGTTGCCTAAAAGGAAGATCATTACATATTTCCAGTGTCGAAGAGTTACATCTATATCTTGGCTGAAAAAAAAAACGATATTTGATTCAAACATAATTTTTTAAAATATTTTTAAATACTAAAAAACAAAACATGACAAATGACATGCTTTTCCACTGTCTATATTTTCTCTCAAATAATTCTTTTCTGAGCAAAAGAAAGTTGGGATATTATTGACCCGACTTACTTGTCATCTTTGCCCAGTATTTGTCCAACAACCAAGTTGGAGATGCCAATGCCAATCATCTGGATGCTGGTGGTCAAGCCCATAGCTGTCCCCAGGGTAGTTGGTGCTACAACTAGGGGTATACTGGGCCACATGCTTGCCTAGAAATTTAAAGAACATTCATCTTCTGCTCATTCAAAATATTAAAAGAAAAAACAAAAATTGGAATTTAAAATTTTAAGAAAATAATTCATTATAACTAGATTTCCTTTTAAAAACTAATCATTTTCTTCTGAACTAAAATTATAAGTATCATTTCTCTAGAACATGAAAACTAATTTACAAACTAAATTATGTTCAGCTTTTATAAGTTTTATAAGTAACTAAAATTTTTAAAACTTGATTTTAAAAGTTTGTGTAAATTAAAAAAATGTTTTATGATAAAACAAGATAAAACTTACCGCAGCAAAAGAGTATGTGACACCAAGCCACAATGTACAAACTAGTGGAGGAACATAGCTGAAGGCTAGCAGACCAAACACAGGAATAGTCAAGACAGCAGTAGCCATTGCTATGTAGCCTCTCTTGCCAAAAACATCCTTGCATTGAAAACAATGGTGTATTTACATTTTTAATTAATTCTGAAATTTAGATCAGAATAATTATAGATATTAATGTAACTGTTATATAAACCTAAATTTATAATTAAAAACTTACAATCAATCCTCCAAGAAAAGGGGACACAACCATGGACACATCATAAATAGCTCCAGCTATGTATGAAGAAGTTGTTTTATCAATACCATACTTTGTTTTTATAAATTTGCTGAAAGGTAAAATAAATAGATATTACACACCAATCACAATAATAATCAAGACATAAATTCACCAACCACAAATCAAACAATTACAAAATTATACAGCAAAACAAAATTTAAAATATAAAAAACTAGCCTGGCATCAGCAACAAAAGGAAAAACTCCATTGTAGAAAAACATAATGGACAGTACAACAAGCCAGAATGATAATGAAAGGTGTCTCACATCCGTTATTTTCTGGGAATAAATTAGACATTTAAAAGTTTCAAAATACACTATGATTATTTTTCAATTATTATTCTGATTAATAAACATTATATATTCTGGGTATCTTAAAATGAGCAAAATAAGATTTTTTGACAGTTGATAAGGGAAATAAATAAATAAATAGAAGATATGACTACCAATTTCTTAGATTCTGATTTCAGTTTTCCTTCGTCTCCAAGTTCTTTCACCCCATGGCGGTCCAAGATGCTCACAATAATTGCAGAGACAAAACCCAGTGCGCACAACATAGCACCTAAAAAATACATTTTAGGTTTAGACTCAACAATATAATGTCTTTCTAATTCTCAAAGTTTAATTTTAAAAATAGCCAAAATTGATTAATAACTAAAATGAAATGCTTAAAAAATAAATAAAACAATTTCACAGGTGGGAATATAAAATAAATATTTAAAACAAGTGCAGTTCTGACCTCCCCACAGAGTCCAACGTAGGCCATAAGCCTCTTCAAAGCGTTGAGTGAGAAAAAAGTTGAGTACACTACCAAGCCTTGAGAAAGCTAGGGTAATTCCAAAAGCCATAGCCAGCTCTTTGTCTCTAAACCAATAGGCAGTTATCCTGTTCTGAACAACTGAAGAGAGGAAAGTCTCAGGTAAGATACAATTAATACAATGAGAGCAAATGAAATTTAAAAAACAATGTTCAAGAAATAAAATAAGACTGTAGTTTCAATTATCCAGCTCTTTAACAATAAAGTATTAAAAAAAATTCTAAGAACATTCAAGTAAATATAAACATTATGAAAATTTATTAAAAAATACATTGCTTGATGTAAAATTGTGGACTGAAATTCTCAGAAGGTTTCAATGAAGAGTAAGAGAAATATTTTGGCTCTCATCTATACGCCTCTATGACCTTTTTTATTTCAAATTTATACAAACAATATTTCCTCTTTTGAATAATTGGAATTTCTCTAAGTTAAGCAAAAAGCGACATTCAAAAGAAAGTTTTAAAAACTTTTTCTTATTCTCAATAGTAAACAGAGATATTTATAATCTTACTTGTGAGAGAGCCATTTCCTGACCCAAATAACAATCTTCCAAACAACATAACTGGAAGAAGGTATGATGTGCCCTTGAGGAAAGCCCCCGCAGCAAATGTAGAGGATCCCAGTAAACAGAGAGACGAAAACAGAAAAACTCCAACTCTATTGCCAAGTTTGTCGATCAGAAACCCTGCGCAAATCACCACAACAGCATTTCTGAAAATGAATAAATAATAAATAATGAATAAATAATATGGAGTGGTGTTACAAATTCCAGTTGCACCACAGAATTAAGCCATACAATATTATTTACCTTTAACTTAAAGTATCACACCATTCTCATGGAAATTTACTCTGAGAAATTTGTAAAACCTTGCAAATGACATGGAACTACTTACGTCCAAGCATAAATGGCATAAAGAAGATTGTAGTCTGCGTCTGACATGCCTAAACAATCTGTACAGTTGCATGTTGTGTTAGATAAAATTGAGCCAGATGAATTTGTACAATTGCTGCCAGACTGAAATAACACAGCTATCTTAAGTAAGGTATTACAGTATAACATAGGCACATTTGATATCTATTTTATTTTGTATTCAATTTTTGACCACATATAAAGTACACAAATTGGATATACATTTTGGTCTCAGAGGTTTACACAATATAATACAAATACAAATCTGAAAATATTTTAATAAAAATATTTTTTGAAGTATCTAATAAAAGACTGCTACCCAAGGTGGGGGGGGGGGGGGTTGTTACAGGCAGTGAATGAATTGGTTTTTTTTTAAAAAAAAAACCTCACTATAATGCTAAGCAATTTAAGTGTTATTGAAAAACATGGAATTTTTTAAAGTTCTAATTTCTTATTATACCTCTATTTTTGTTTGTATTTAGACACTGATTCTTAAAGTGGTATGGAAGATAAAGAAATATTTTTTTTTATTTACACCATTAAAAATTTGAAAAATATTATCCCACCATTCTCTCTCTTTCTCTTCCCCCCCCCCCCCCAAATTTTTTTATTAACAATTTTTTGAAAATTGATTATAAATCATGTCAGAGTGTATCTAGATATAAAAAAGGTAAAACATTCACACTTACTTGAGTAAAAACATCTTGTAAAACACTTGGCATATCAAAACAAAAGTAAGATCCAAATGTAAGCATACAGTTGAAAAATAGCACCAGAAACCTGTAGCCACCTGAAAAGGATGAAGTAGGCCTGAGCATTTCAATCAACACAAAACTATTTAACCAAGTAGAAATATGACAAGCTTAAGCCAACACTAACCATTTCCCATACAAAGTTCTACTATAGCCCTAGCCTTAATTTCTTACCATTTCACAAAACCTGACACATAACACATAACACTACTAAAACCTAAAGCATGCACCCATTTCTGAAAGAGACTACTACCGAACACTGGTAATACCAATACTGCTAGAAATTTTTGGATCAAAACTGCAAAACAGTGCTATGCTTGACCAGGCTTTTTGTTATCTAATTTTTATTGCTTCTGTGTTAGATGACCATCAACTAAGTATAGTCTACCACCTGTAGCAGTTACTGTTATCAGAATAATAAGCCTACAAGCCCAATGTAGGTCATTGCACATGAACAGAAATACTGCATCCTGTCCAGCCTAGAGCCTTGGGGAGGCATTTTCTTTTGAACAAATACTTCGTATATTTTAATGCAGTAGGATGGTGGAGTAAAGTGTGTTCAAACAAAGTTGGTCCTAGCCTATATAAATCTTCTTTTCCTTTTTGTGCCCAAGACACATGGGGCCACCACAGAAAGCGCTCTCCACCTTTGCCATTCCTGTCTATTTTCTTGGCAGTCCCCCAGATAGACTTCTTTTGTCAGTCGTTTCTTCCTGACTTCCTGATTCCTTGAGAGACTTCTAGTTAACCCCTTCCTTTGATACAATAAATTGATATAATTTGGACTTATTCTAAAAACGTGACCCATCGAGCAGCAGCACCTTTTTTTAATTATTTTAGAAACTGCTTCCTTTTCCCTTTCTCCTGTAAGTAATGTATTTAATTTTAAATGTATCTTATCTATCCATTGGAGATGTTGGCCCAGTGGACGCCTTTTAATTAAATCCTTCGCAGACAATTAGAAAATACTTAATTAATAATTTAATAGTAATATATTAGGCCTAATACAGTACTTAAGTTAATGGTGGGGGGAGGTAATATTGTTATTATTAGTTTGGATAGTGATTTCGGATTTTGGTATTTGTTAAGTTATTTAAGTTAAGGCAAGGATCCACCAGACCAGATGATCACCCAGGCCACTAGACTAGAGTCTAGACTGGTACTGGTACTACTGGTGACTAGTCACTAGACCACTGCACTGAGCCACTGAGAGACCAATGATCTGCTGTAGACAGGTTGTTACTTTCCAGCATTCAGTATATTAAAAGCATACAGATCAACATTCTATATCTAAAAAAACAACATGCAGAGAACAAACAAATCAAAATTTCTGACTGTATAAAAGAAAGAAAAATAAAGAAAGAAAAAAATTTACGATCGGTAGCTCGTAGGACAGCCATTTTGTGGGCTTTATTCAAGTCACATGATCATTTATCACGTGACAAAAGGACCTAAAATACCAAAATACAAAATTATAACCATAAGTCAATAGTGTTACGTTTCAAAATAATATTTTAAATTATTTTAAGTTCATTTTATTGGCTTAAAAAATATTTTATAACAGTTATGCTTTAAAAAAAACAGCAACTTCACTGCTTGAAATTAATTTAATCTTACAACGCTTAAAAGTTTTAAAGATAGAAGTAGAATCTATGTATTGTGTCGTTGACAAATGAAAAAATAAAGTAAACAAAACACGGCGGGTGTTTATTTTTAGCTTTAAATGAGCCAAAACAATAATTCCTAGATGTACGATGCTAAACACGCAACATACTAGATCTAGAGTCTAGACTTACAATCTAGATTCTCGTCTAGAAAATCTAGATTCTAGTCTAGGTCAAACATTTTAAATTTAGTGATAGCAGATAGAATCTAGTAGATAGATCTAGATCTAGTTTTCCCCATTAATGATTAATGCTGCTCAACGTGTAGATTAGACTAGAAGCTAGAAGAATCCAGTATTTTTTATTTCAGTTTCAGTATTGATTGAGTATTGAATCACTTCAGTATGACTTTAATAGATTTAGATCTAGATTCTAGTTGTTATTTATAATAATTATGAGTATTAAAAATTCAGTCTAAATCAATCAGTATGATTGAGTATCCCTACATCTAGGGGGTCATCCATAAATGACGTCACACTCGTAGGGGGGAGGGGGGGGGTCCGTTATTATGTGCCGATGTGTGATGACGGGGCGGGGGGGGGGGGGGGTTCAGATGTTGCGATGTCACATTTTTGTATTATAAAAAAGCAATGTTATAAAACGAATTTTAGACGTTATTTCGCATTTTAAAAATGTGTACAGAAAGTGTGATATCAATTGATAATTTATGGACAATTATAAAATATGTCACAAGTTTACCCTGGTAAAAAGAACACACCACCATTTGCCCCAACCTACTTCCAATATTTTTAAAACTTGTAGGCCTATTTATTTAGATATGAATTTTTTAAACTTTTGTACAGTGTTGATTGAGTACAAGCGAAATGTATTCAACTATGGAACCCAAAAAACGAAAGAAAAGCAAAGAAAAAAAGAAAAAAGCTGTAAATACGAAAAAGACTTCAAAGAAAAGCTCAGCAATAGTTGGGCATGGTCAAACACTGGCAAGCTTACTTGAAGAAGAAGATGACGATAATGTATTGATGAAATATCAGTCTACCCAACCTGATCAGGAGGATGAGCTTTTTGGTCTTGTACGATCAGACATTGTTGGAGTTCAGTATTATAAAGGAACAGTTAAGTAATGTGTTTTTTATTATTATAAGTTCAGTTCATTACTCTGATATAACTTGTGACATAGTGATAATAAATATCTTAGGGCCAAAAATGGTAGGTTTAGGCTACTAGTTCATAAAGACTTAGTTGTGAGCATGCATTACTTTTTTTCTTCTAGGTATCAAATAATGAGATGGTGAATCTAGTGAGGGAACCAGACAACAGATATGACTGCAATGCTGTTAAAGTTGAAAATATGGGCATGGAGCAAGTGGGACACATTAAAAAAGAACACGCCAAAGCTCTCTCTCAAATAATGGACAAGACTGTGGCAAAAGTGGAAGGGTAAGAACATTTAAGACCTTAACCATTTGGGCTTTTTATAATTTAAATTTTACAAATTTGGTACTTTTATTTTCAGGATAGTCCCATATGGAGCCAAAAATAAGTACAGGATGCCAATAGATATCTATCTGTGGGGGACCCCTAATAACCGACCAGAAGTTGTGGGAATTTTGAGATCCAATGGTATTACACTATCAGAGGGTGAGCATCCTGTCAGAAAAAGTGGTTCTCTTCTTGAAGGTTCTTCCATGGACTATGGACATGTTGTTTCATCGAGGATTTTCATTTCACCAGCTGAGGTTATATACATTTCTAATATACAGTATATGACTCGGATATAATGTAACATGGTTAAATATGTTTATTTTTAGCATTAGATATTCATATAATTACTCACACTGAGAATTTACAGTTACATATTGTATCAACACCTTTTTTACATTGTTTAATTCAGTTATAGTGTACTTACTTAAAAAACTCTATTAACACATGTCTAGATGCAAAATGAATTGGACAAGATGTTTGAAACATTAGAAGAAGGTGATAAAACCACAGAGACAAAACCAGTAGAGGTAAGCAAATATTTATCACATACATTTTGCTATTTATTTCACAGTATTTGATAAAATGATGAAATCAGTTTTGTAAAATTATTATTCAAAATAAGTAAGCATAAAAAACTTTTATTTTTATAGGCGATACGAACTTCTCTGTATCCACATCAGAAGCAGGCTCTCAATTGGATGATTTGTAAGGAAAACAACAATACTCTTCCTCCCTTTTGGGAAAAACAGGGCAATGTTTATGCAAACTCCCTCACTATGTTTGTAACTAAAACTGTGCCAGCCAGTGTACATGGAGGTGAGGATGTGTTCATCTTGTCTTATTCAAAACATTGGTGTTGGGTTATTTGTTATTACATATTATTTTTTACACATTAATTCATGATGAATTAAGAGTAGTTAAAAGCTAACAAAAAAAGTGTTGTTTTTTTTTAAAGGTATACTAGCAGATGATATGGGTCTTGGGAAAACACTGGAGATTATTTCTCTTATAATGAGTAATTTTATTGATGGCAAGCCTCTAGCTTGTCCAGTACCTGGCAGGTACAGGTCAGCTTTTGGCACTACCGTGAATAAGGTATGTGCGCAGAAAAATCCTATCATAACATCTCTATTCTTTTTTTTTTTAACTTGTTCTTTGTTATAGTTAGTAGGTGATTATACATTTTAATACCTCTTAGGTGGCTTCTTCACATCTTGATTTGCCCTCAACATCCAAAACAAAAGATTCAACATTTTCTCCAAGATTTGTTTTGAATAAAACCTCTCAAAGAGAAAGTAAGTCAAACATTAAAATCTTTTCTTCCCTTCTCAAATAAAATCTAGAAACTAACACTCTTTTTTGGTCTGTAAAGGTGAGTCTAAAAAATTCAAGTGTGAAGATCCTGAGTTTGAACCACGAGTGCCCACCCAGAGCAAACCAAACACAGAACCTGTTGCAAGATCTAGAAGGTGATAATACTCTTATATTTAAAATTCTTATCTCTTTAAATTGAAATCAACTTCAGATTACATGGTTTGTCTACAGCTGAAGACTAAGTATACAGACACACAAGTTTTGTATTCCAATATGAACTTCGTTTGCTTGGAAATATATACATCTGTTGCAGCTTGGTTGATTCTGCAGTACTAACGCATTTTGATTACTTTTTAATTTATCCAGAAATATTAAAAGACCAGTTTACTACACAATTGATGATTCTGATGAAGAGGACCAGCCTTATGTAAAAAGTATGGATCATTATTTTTTTAAATTACTTTATTGTCAGTTAGTTTAAGTGTTCAGTTTTTAAAGTTTCAGATACATAATAGTGCATATTGACTCATATGATTTGCAATCGGATTTTGTGAGTGTGGTTGCTGGCAATGACATTTCAATTATGTCAGCATGATGTAGTAAGAAAGTGCGCTGGAATGAAATATTGGTATTTTGATATTTCTATAACGTGGAACCCTTTTTGCCACAACACACATACGCCATGAATTGTGTCACTGCCATCTATACAGGCTCACGTTAATTGTGTATATACAAGCTGTGATAAGCTTACTTTTTATTTGTATATCTTAGCTGAGTAGTCAACTTGTGACTATTTTGATGATACAATGTGTGATTTCTTTCTGAATAATTTAATCATTTTATACTAAGTCGAGCAAAAAAGGAAATTTAGGCTACAATTTGCATTCAAATATATCACAGAACAAGAATAGAGATGGGAGTCAGCATTTGCAATGGCAAGTTGAGCCATTCTAGTCTAGCACTGGCAAAACTATTAAAATGCTATTAATAAATAATAAACTGTCAAGAATCTGAGTAATATGGTTCTTGTGCTGTTAATTGTACATGCAAGTACTTAAATATTTTACCAGCATTGCTGCTTTCCAAATGAAGCTTTTTTAGTAATAGATTATTATAGGGTAACGAAAGTAGTGATAAGTTACACATAGATTCAGTAAGCTAGACATATGGGATTGATTTGTCTATATTATACAATACTATTAAACATGGGACAAAACCATGTGTGTGACTTTTATAGTGGTCTAAATTTCATAAGAGGAATATTCAGTTCACTTTTTCAAATAATTTCTCATGCTTGAAACTTGACCATGTATTGAGAGTATAATAAACGAAATAAAAAAGGAAAAAAAAAATTAATTTGGTTTAAATATATAGTTTAGCCCAGTGGTTATAAACCTTTTTTGAGGTACTGAAAACCACACCAGTTTCATATGCTTAATCATCGAACCTTTCTTAATCGTTCTATCATCATCACTGACAAAATCCTATCCTGAATCATATGAGTCTGGTATAATTCTTAACCTCAGCATAATCCCTGAGACTGTCTCACCGAAACCTTGGGATTCAATCAAACCCAGGTTAAAAACCACTGGTTTAGACAAACAAGTATCAAATTTTCACACTCTCACTAAAGGCGGAAATGGAAAACCATTTATATATATATATATATATATATATATATATATATATATATATATATATATATATATATATATATATATATATGTGTGTGTGTGTGTGTGTGTGCGTGTATTATCTAGATATACCTTTGTTGAAAATAAAATAAGCATGAAAATGAGTAATAAGGTGTTTAGCAAAGATAAATAAGGCCATTAATAATTACCTCCCATATTCAATCTTTGATTTGGTCCAAGGGAGACAACAAATGGTTAATCGCTGAATTTTAGAAACCACATTTATAAAATGATTTATTGGTTATTGTTACTAATTGATACAGCAGTTATTGTTGTAAGGATATAACCAAGCTTCATAGTTACAGTATATCTATAGGTCCTGTTTTCCTAGCTGGAACAACTTAATTTCATCTTTCTATTCAATACGAAAACCCTTTCAACTACCAGTGAACTGCAGTGTACAAAAGAACTACATACCCTTAAATGCACATTTATCCACAGACACAAATGGCTTGTTATTAAAATTTTTAATATATCCACTTTACCCTCAGACATGATAACCCCACAATCCCTTTAACTGTTCCAACGACCCCACCACCCCCCACCACCCACCGCAACATCAATATCCAGAACTTATTTAAAGTTCTAAATCTTGTCTCCTTCCCCTCATCTTTCACACTGCAACCTTTTGAAAACTCAATGCGACCACTACAACACCCTTTCAACTAGTCAACTTAAGTTGTTTCCCTACATAGAAAATGCTTCACTGTCCCATTGACCCTCTCTGAAAAATTTCCTTTCCTCTCCCCACCCAGACTTCTGACACTTTCATTTGACCTTCACCCCTTTTACTGTCATCCTTTGCAATTTTTTTTATAATCAAATACATGACATCATGTAAATATTCATTATGTACATTTGCAAAACCTTTCCTTTTCATTTGGTGTTCAAAATTATGTTAAAAAATTTGATGTTGATGTACTTGTTTTAATTGCAAATAAAAGTATTAAAAAAAAAAAATTTAAAAAAAAATGTAATATTACAACAAAAAAAAATAAAAAAAAAAAAAATAAATAAAAAAAAAAAATAAATAAATAAATAAATAAATAAAAAAAAAAAAAAAAAAAAATTTAAAGCAAGTTTGGTGTACACATCCATATTTTCATCATGGCATAGATTGGACTAATGTAGGTGTGTTAGCACTTGCTAGTGATGACAGGTGATCTAAGAATAAATAATCTCTTAAAAAAAAAAAAAAAAAAAAAAAATTTAATATTCTAGATCAGGGGCCGGCAACCTGCTGCTCTCGAGCATCAGCGATGGGGCTCGGCTCGATGGGGCTCTCGAGTTCCATGCATAATGATTAATAATTATATTATATCATTTTCTAAACTCATAAAAATACTATACTGTAAAGAAAAACAACTTTAAATAGGATTTTAAAAAACTCATCAGAGAACACAGCCCCCCCCCCCCCCCCCCCCCCCGTCAACCAATCCATTCCACTTATGCCACTGCTGAAGTGCCGACTTTTTCAAATACCGTTAACCGAAGTATCTTAGTTATAGTATCCTACGTTAGAGCCAGGTACTGGACTGTGGGGAACAAGTAGGGTGAGAACCAAAGGACAGAAGCGACCGATTCAGTAATCAAACCTATATCTAAGCCAGTTAGTCAGAGTTGAGGGCTGCTTGGCTATGGGAGACACCTCCTTAGCCAGTAGTGTCCTTAAAGAAAGAAAAAACAAAGTTATTGGCTTCTAAAGTGGATTGGGATTGTCCTATAGTTATATTATTTGATAACTAACTTAATCATAGCAGAGCTAGGTAAAACACTTTTCTGTGCGAAACATGTTTTTCTTTGAATCAATATTAGTTCAAATTAATGGTATTTATTTCAAATAGACAATTAAATTTATTTACTTAATTCTAATCAAATCCCAGAATATTGGGAAAATAATGTTAGTGGCTCTTAAAAAACTGGGAAATTTTGAAAATTATAACTTTTGGCTCTTTCGTCTTAAAAGGTTGCCGACCCCTGTTCTAGATCCTTTGGTATTTACTAATTATATTGGTACCTCTTGGTGAGGTGATTCCCATGAAGTGAACCATGCAGTGAATTCTCTTAACTTGGTGGTATTTCTGTCCTTTTTTCTTGAAGCACAATTTGACCCAATCATATATGGTGCACTAAAGACATTTTCCCACTTTAATCCTGCATTCTCAAAAATATTTATTTTCTTCAAAATATCTACTTTTTATTAAGTAGTTTCAATTCCACTCCAAAATAAGTACTCTTCTTTGAATGAAATCATTTTACACTGAGATGAAAATGGTGAAAAACTAATTTCTTTTATAATCTTCTATTTAACATCTACTATCATTAGATACAGGTATTCCTTGCATGCTTTCTTCTCTGAAATAATTATATCATTAGATACAGGTATTCCTTGCATGCTTTCTTCACTGAAATAATTATATCATTAGATACAGGTATTCCTTGCATGCTTTCTTCACTGAAATAATTATATCATTAGATACAGGTATTCGTTGCATGCTTTCACTGAAATAGCCACAAATTGCTTTCACCATCTTCTATACGGGGGGGGGGGGGGAATGTTTTGAGTTTTTCTCCAACTGTGTGATGGGTTTTTTGCTTGGCAGTTCCAATGCAACTTCGTATAATAATAATTCTGTGCTTTATGCTTAAGCTGACAACCCAACAAAAAAAAAACAGTCAAGACCAACAGCTTAGCAGATTTTGATTTAATCTGTATTGGGAATCTATGTGGTGTTTGAGTATTTTTCCTGTCTGTTTATAAGAATTTGTTGCATAAAAAGACTGTATTGTAAGGTGTGTATCTTTGGTAAGATGTGACCTAGCCACCTAAGAAATACATAACTACAGAAATAATTGTTTTGATAATAATTCTATAAATGTTATTGATTTCATCACAGATTTTTCAGAAACTTTTCATGTTGCATTATTTTTATTTCTTACAGCAAAAAGTAATATTGTTTCCCATTAACTGAGTAAATTACTAATTGTTTCTTTGTAGAGAGAAGTCATAATAAAATGGGTGTGAAGAAGAAACATTCAGATACTGGTGCAGGGGATAAAGGATCTACCCCAACTATGTCATTCAATTCATCACTAGTGACATCAAACACTACAGAAAATAACAAAGGTACTTTTAATTATAAAGTAAAAGTAAAGTTTCCCTTTCAAACCTGACGGTTTATGGGGCGAGTGAAGTAGAGTTCACTTGTTTCTGTGACCTCGGCATATGAAGAGATAGTGTGGTCAGCACTATGCCCAGCCGCCTTTACTTTCTCTAACGTGAGTTAGGTACACATCAGAGTTGGGTGGACTCAGGGACGGTCTACTGACTTGAACCCGGATTCGAACTCGATACTTACGGGTTAGCAGTCCAGCTCTCTACGGCTAGACCACTCCGTCCCTTTACTTTTAATTTTGGTGAAGGTGAAATTAATGTTTTTAAATATGATTCTAATATTAATAACCGGTTGTTGTTTTTTGTCAGGTTGCCTAAGTCCTGTTGAAGATATGTTAGATAACCAGACAGATACTTCAAATGACTCGAAGTCCAGCGCAGAAGTACAAACAAAATCTGATGAAAAAAATAAACACTCACATTGTGATAATTCTGATCATTCTATTTTCGTTCTTGACTGTAAGTTTTATGATGACATTGTTTCTTACTTCTTGCTCATTAGCCTCTTAATTAATCATGGTTTGACTAATAGTTTGAGAGTTTAGTTTTTATTTGCTACTAATATACTATAATTGATAATGAAATTTTTCTACCATAACATTTTTACTAAAAACATGTTACTTGAATTGTTACTGCATGAACATTTTCTTTTAAATTTTTAGCTGATGACGACTTACCTGACATTCTGTCATCCTCAGTTTCCCAGAATGTTCCAGAAAGTATACACCATTTTTATTTGTATTTTTCAAACTTCCCAAAACTATACGGTTCACTCAAAACTGAAAGTATACACAATTTTTACATGTACACTTTTGAAGCATCCCAAACTGTATGGTTCACACACACAAAAAAAATGTCACTGAAAAAAAATCATCAAATGTACACTGTACACTGTTTTTTCTGCACTGTTTTTTTTTAGGGTATTACATTTATTACCCAACAAGTAGAATTCTGTTTATAATATTTTTATAAGATCTGTAACATGGATATTATATTAATTGTTCTTCTTTTGTTACAAAAATTCATCTAAAAAAATTGTTACTGTGGGATAAGGTGTTAAAATTTGCCTTTTTAAAAAAAATTAATTAAATCCTAGTCTACCTATATGTAAGATTAACAATAGGATTCTACTATTTTAAGTTGTATTTAATAAAAACCTAACAAAAACAGTAAAAAAAATTAAACATTTTCTTTAGCCCCGCTCCCACTTGATTGTGATTCTAAAACTGGACGAACTCAGACCTATGGCCCCAGAGGAACATTGATAATCTGCCCGCTTAGTGTAATGAGTAACTGGGTGGTAAGTAGGGGACCTACACCACATTTTAATAAGCTGTTAGATGCTGATTTGTTGGGAAAGTTCAGGTTGTTTTAAAATGTATTTTTGTGTGTTTGTTTTAGAGCGAGTTTGAGAAACATGTACTAGACACAGTTCACATACAAGTGTACGTGTACTATGGCCCAAGTCGCTGTAAAGATCTTACGTTTCTTAAGGAAAAAGATGTTGTTGTTACAACATATTCCACCCTGGCATCAGAATATAAGGTTGGTTTTTTTTTCAATGTCTGATATAATAGAAACAGTTGTATTGTAAATCTTACTGCTAGCCAGTTACAGTTTAGTTCTTATGAACATTGTAATGACTTTAGTTAAAGTATATTTTTGTTAAACTGATTTTGTTAAAAATCTGATTCAATGTGTCACTCTTTGATGAGAGCAGATGCAGAGCTCTCCCATACTCAAAATAGAATGGCTGCGGGTTGTATTGGACGAGGGTCACATGATCAGAAATCCTCAGGCTGTACAAACAAAGGCAGCTTTTGAGCTGAAGGCACAGAGGAGGTGGATTCTTACAGGTGAGGCTTGCTTCTACCTGTGTTGGTGTGATGTTTTTCTTACTACCTGTGATGTTGTGATGTTGCTTTTATTTCTGTTGTTGTGATATTTCCTTACTACCTGTGATGTTGCTTTTATTCATGTTGTTGTGATGTTTTGTTTTCCTTCCCAAAACAAGGCAGGAAAGATTCTCTCAGAGTTGTTGCTGTCAATGTTCAGTACAACTCAATTTTTTTTAATGAGACAAATATTATCTAAATAAACACAATGCTGAATTTATAAGAAACTTCATTTCAGCTTCTCTCTACTATGTAAGTTGTGTTTTGCCAACTATTTTTACATTTGTTATTTCTGAAGCTGATAGATTGTGTTTAATTGAATCATGTAGGTACACCAATTCAAAACTCTTTGAAAGATTTGTGGTCTTTAGTGAACTTCCTTAAAGTCAAACCATTCACTGATAAAGTGTGGTGGAATCGCACCATAGTTAGGCCGCTCAGCAAGAGAGAAAAGCCTGCAATGCAGTAAGTAGTTTTTCAAGTCAGATTGACATTTTGATACCTTGTTAAAAATGTTACGATGTGCTTGTAAAGTTAACAGTTATTTAGATGATATGTTCTGTTGTTTTACTTTTGATTAAAAAATGGTGTTGTGGAACTTCTACCAGGCGTGTTTGTCACTTAATGAAGAATCTAGCAATGAGACGCACCAAAAACCAGCAGATCAATGGCAAACCAATTCTTGAATTACCTGCTCGCAAAGTTTTTCTGGAGAAGATCACACTGAGTGGAGAGGAGAGGAGCGTGTACGACGCCATGCAGAATCATGGACAGGTGGTTGTAGGAAGGTAAAAATAGGAACTTTACAAATTGACTAAATGTCTTTTTTTTTTTAAATATTTACCAGGGATTTTGTTCAGATTTAAATTTAAAATATCCTTTATCAACATGTGATCGCCCTTTCTGGATTGATGCTAATAATAATTGGAATGAAGTAGGTTGAGGTTCAATTAGAAAGAATTCCGGGCTTTTATCTTGCCTAATATCTTAAAATCAAGCATAGATAATTAAATACATTTCTAAGATACATTTTTTCTCTAAATTGTGTCACTGGTTTTCATGTAATATGGTGACATTTTTTACTGCTTGCTGTGTATAAAATAGTCAGCTGAGTGATAGAGGCAGTTAGTTTGATAGTTAGGGTTACACTGTATCTTTATGTTGGAGGCAGTGAGGTTGATAGTTAGGGTTACACTGTCTTTGTGTTGGAGGCAGTTAGGTTGATAGTTAGGGTTACACTGTGTCTTTGTGTTGGAGGCATTAGGTTGATAGTTAGGGTTACACTGTGTCTTTGTGTTGGAGGCAGTTAGTTGATAGTTAGGGTTACACTGTGTCTTTGTATTGGAGGCAGTTAGGTTGATAGCTAGGGTTACACTGTATCTTTGTGTTGGAGGCAGTTAGGTTGATAGTTAGGGTTACACTGTATCTTTATGTTGGAGGCAGTTAAGTTGATAGCTAGGGTTACACTGTATCTTTGTGTTGGAGGCAGTTAGGTTGATAGTTAGGGTTACACTGTGTCTTTGTGTTGGAGGCAGTTAGGTTGATAGTTAGGGTTACACTGTATCTTTGTGTTGGAGGCAGTTAGGTTGATAGCTAGGGTTACACTGTATCTTTGTGTTGGAGGCAGTTAGGTTGATAGTTAGGGTTACACTGTATCTTTGTGTTGGAGGCAGTTAGGTTGATAGTTAGGGTTACACTGTGTCTTTGTGTTGGAGGCAGTTAGGTTGATAGTTAGGGTTACACTGTGTCTTTGTGTTGGAGGCAGTTAGGTTGATAGCTAGGGTTACACTGTATCTTTGTGTTGGAGGCAGTTAGGTTGATAGCTAGGGTTACACTGTATCTTTGTGTTGGAGGCAGTTAGGTTGATAGTTAGGGTTACACTGTATCTTTGTGTTGGGGGCAGTTAGGTTGATAGTTAGGGTTACACTGTGTCTTTGTGTTGGAGGCAGTTAGGTTGATAGCTAGGGTTACACTGTATCTTTGTGTTGGAGGCAGTTAGGTTGATAGTTAGGGTTACACTGTATCTTTGTGTTGGAGGCAGTTAGGTTGATAGCTAGGGTTACACTGTATCTTTGTGTTGGAGGCAGTGAGGTTGATAGGGTTACACTGTATCTTTGTGTTGGAGGCAGTTAGGTTGAAAGCTAGGGTTACACTGTATCTTTGTGTTGGAGGCAGTGAGGTTGATAGGGTTACACTGTGTCCTTGTGTTGGAGGCAGTTACGTTGATAGTTAGGGTTACACTGTATCTTTGTGATGGAGGCAGTTAAGTTGATAGCTAGGGTTACACTGTATCTTTGTGTTGGAGGCAGTGAGGTTGATAGCTAGGGTTACACTGTGTTCTTGTGTTGGAGGCAGTGAGGTTGATAGTTAGGGTTACACTGTATCTTTGTGTTGGAGGCAGTTAGGTTGAAAGCTAGGGTTACACTGTATCTTTGTGTTGGAGGCAGTTAGGTTGATAGTTAGGGTTACACTGTGTCTTTGTGTTGGAGGCAGTTAGGTTGATAGTTAGGGTTACACTGTATCTTTGTGTTGGAGGCAGTTAGGTTGCTAGCTAGGGTTACACTGTATCTTTGTGTTGGAGGCAGTTAGGTTGATAGTTAGGGTTACACTGTATCTTTGTGTTGGAGCAGTTAGGTTGATAGTTAGGGTTACACTGTATCTTTGTGTTGGAGCAGTTAGGTTGATAGCTAGGGTTACACTGTATCTTTGTGTTGGAGGCAGTGAGGTTGATAGGGTTACACTGTATCTTTGTGTTGGAGGCAGTTAGGTTGCTAGCTAGGGTTACACTGTATCTTTGTGTTGGAGGCAGTTAGGTTGATAGTTAGGGTTACACTGTATCTTTGTGTTGGAGCAGTTAGGTTGATAGCTAGGGTTACACTGTATCTTTGTGTTGGAGGCAGTGAGGTTGATAGTTAGGGTTACACTGTATCTTTGTGTTGGAGGCAGTGAGGTTGATAGTTAGGGTTACACTGTATCTTTGTGTTGGGGGCAGTGAGGTTGATAGTTAGGGTTACACTGTATCTTTGTGTTGGAGGCAGTGAGGTTGATAGTTAGGGTTACACTGTATCTTTGTGTTGGAGGCAGTTAGGTTGATAGTTAGGGTTACACTGTATCTTTGTGTTGGGGGCAGTTAGGTTGATAGCTAGGGTTACACTGTATCTTTGTGTTGGAGGCAGTTAGGTTGATAGTTAGGGTTACACTGTATCTTTGTGTTGGAGGCAGTTAGGTGGATAGCTAGGGTTACACTGTATCTTTGTGTTGGAGGCAGTTAGGTTGATAGCTAGGGTTACACTGTATCTTTGTGTTGGAGGCAGTTAGGTTGATAGCTAGGGTTACACTGTGTCTTTGTGTTGGAGGCAGTTAGGTTGATAGCTAGGGTTACACTGTGTCTTTGTGTTGGAGGCAGTTAGGTTGCTAGCTAGGGTTACACTGTATCTTTGTGTTGGAGGCAGTGAGGTTGATATTTAGGGTTACACTGTATCTTTGTGTTGGAGGCAGTGAGGTTGATAGTTAGGGTTACACTGTATCTTTGTGTTGGAGGCAGTGAGGTTGATAGTTAGGGTTACACTGTATCTTTGTGTTGGGGGCAGTGAGGTTGATATTTAGGGTTACACTGTATCTTTGTGATGGAAGCAGTTAGGTTGATAGCTAGGGTTACACTGTATATTTGTGTTGGAGGCAGTTAGGTTGCTAGCTAGGGTTACACTGTATATTTGTGTTGGAGGCAGTTAGGTTGCTAGCTAGGGTTACACTGTATCTTTGTGTTGCAGATACTTCCAACAGGGAACTTTGTTACATCATTATGGGGAAGTGCTGGCCATACTGATCCGACTCCGACAGCTGTGTTGTCACCCACTCTTGGTCGCCAAAGCCATTGCCAAGGTCATGGAGAGCAATCCAGGTATGTTGACCTCAGTTGGCTGTATATAACAACATCACAGCCTAGAAATTAGCTTAAACTCAATTATTTTTATTGCCTTGTTACCAAGTGTGTTGTTGATCAAATGTCTCACCCAGACTAGAACAGACACAATAACTTTTTTTTAATAATAAATAATTTATAGTCTAACTTCATTTAGAATAATATTTTTTATTTTTTCATTCAGATATTTAAAAAAATAATTTTTTGCATATTTCTAAGATAATAGAATAATATACAAAGTAACAGTAAAATAAATTGAAGGGAAATAACTGAGCAACTGTTGTGTTGCCAGATTGTGTGTTGGACACTCTGGATACATCACAGACAGTCAGTGAAGAAGAAAAGAAAAGGTTAATTGACCACCTGATGAACGTGCTGAACTCCGGCTCAGAGGAGGAGTGTTCCATTTGTTTAGAGAGTCTGAGCCGGGCTGTTATCACATCCTGCGCTCATGTCTACTGCAGGCCTTGTATTGAGGCTGTCATTGATAATGAGCAGGTAATGTATTCTTTTTCTAGATACATCATGTTTCACTGATTAAGTTCTCTTTGTTTACAAACTTTACTTTTCACAGTTTCTTTAACCCCAGCCAATCTCATCAAGGGAGATAACGTTTTTGTTTAATGTATTAAGATTTTTCTGCTGTAATTTCATTCTACAGCTCTTTGACATTGTAAGACCAAATGAGACCAAAACATAATCAAACATTTGACCATGTATCAGATAATTTAACATTAATTCCTTTTGTTTTATTTTCCTTTGTACGCTTTCATTTTTAAAACAGGTAAGCTCATTGTCTGTCCCAAATTTAGCGTTTCAGAATTTGATTTGAATCTTTCAGCCTCAGCCAAAGTGCCCACTTTGCCGCGGCCAGCTTGACAAAAGTAAATTGATTGACGTCCCACCTGAGTTACGTCAGGATGACATCTTGGCTGACACGTCAGGGAACTCAATGTACGACGAATGGCAGTCCAGTGCTAAGGTTGGTATTGAGCTTTGTTTTGTTGCTATCACTGGTAAAAGTTTAGACACTTTTTTTTTAACTAATAAATTCTATGTTAAATTGGGGCTCATATTCCTTGGGTCTCTTTGGTTGTTCAGGTTGATGTATTTTGTTTACGTTGAGGTATCTTGTTCAGGTTAAGGTATGTCGATGTATGTTGTTCAGGTTGAGGTATGTTGTTATATGTTGATATATGTTGATCAGGTTGATGCGCTGATGAAAGCCTTGACAGAGCTGAGAAAAGAAGACCCAACAGTAAAAAGTGTTGTTGTATCTCAGTTCACATCTTTACTCACATTGTTGGAGATACCTTTAAAGTAAGTACTCACTTAAATGATTCACCATCTGGATGTGTGTACTGTGAATTTTGTGTTTTTCATGTTCCAAGTTTTCAAAGCTTTGATATTATATTTAGGATGTTCAGTAGTTGTATAAATTGCCATTTAAATTACCAATGGAAGTGTTTAATGGTCTTGTTTCTGTCTGCTTTAAGGCATCAAGGTTTTGCGTTCAGTCGTCTGGATGGCACTATGAGTAGGTCTGAGCGTGAACAGGCTGTCAGTGAATTCTCCAGTCCTGGCCCCAACTCTCCAACCATTTTCTTGCTGTCCATGAAGGCTGGGGGTGTGGGAATCAACCTGACAGCTGCCTCCAGAGTCTTTCTCATGGACCCTGTAAGTACCAGCTATACATGTGCCTAGTCTTTCTCATGGACCCTGTAAGTACCAGCTGTACATGTGCCTAGTCTTTCTCATGGACCCTGTAAGTACCAGCTATACATGTGCCTAGTCTTTCTCATGGACCCTGTAAGTACCAGCTGTACATGTGCCTAGTCTTTCTCATGGACCCTGTAAGTACCAGCTATACATGTGCCTAGTCTTTCTCATGGACCCTGTAAGTACCAGCTATACATGTGCCTAGTCTTTCTCATGGACCCTGTAAGTACCAGCTATACATGTGCCTAGTCTTTCTCATGGACCCTGTAAGTACCAGCTGTACATGTGCCTAGTCTTTCTCATGGACCCTGTAAGTACCAGCTATACATGTGCCTAGTCTTTCTCATGGACCCTGTAAGTACCAGCTATACATGTGCCTAGTCTTTCTCATGGACCCTGTAAGTACCAGCTATACATGTGCCTAGTCTTTCTCGTGGACCCTGTAAGTACCAGCTATACATGTGCCTAGTCTTTCTCGTGGACCCTGTAAGTACCAGCTATACATGTGCCTAGTCTTTCTCATGGACCCTGTAAGTACCAGCTGTACATGTGCCTAGTCTTTCTCGTGGACCCTGTAAGTACCAGCTATACATGTGCCTAGTCTTTCTCATGGACCCTGTAAGTACCACCTACATAAGGGCCTTGGAGATGGAGTGGCCTAGCGGTAGAGAGCTGGACTGCTAACCGTAAGTCGAAATTCGGGTTCAAGTCAGTAGAATGTCCCTAAGTCCACCCAGCTCTCATGTGTACCTAACTCACGTTAAGGAAAGTAAAGGCGGCTCAGCATAGTGCTGACCACACTAACCCTTCATATGCTGAGGTCACAGAAACAGGTGAACTCTACTTCACTTGCCCCATAGTCCGTCATGTTTGGAAAGGGAACTTTACATATGGGCCTTCTGCCTCTAACATTTAACAGTGTGCAGCATTTAGGTTTAGGTCATTTTAAAATTGTAAAACTTGATAATGGTGCTTTGATCTTAGTCATTTACTAAGAAAACAAATGTGTTTGTATATTTATTGTGTGGATTTCCTGTTTGACAACTTATCTCTACTGTTATTACACGAATGTGGTCCTTTGGTATTTGTTGTATTGGCCTGTACAACTAGACGTGAGGGTTTAGTAAGACCATCATATTGAATGTTGATGTTCTTAAGGAATGAAATGTAATAACTAATCCTAACCAACTAACCTAGTTTTTTTTTATAATTGACTATTGACTTTGTTTTACAATTGTTTTATAAAGTTATTTGTCTGTTAAAGACGGACATCTCTGTATTTTAGCTAATTGTAAAATGGTTATCTGCCAGAATTTGACCACGTAAAATTTATTATGGCTGATGGTTTTGTTAGTAGTATTTTTTTTTTTGTACCTTTCCTTTCTTGTAATCAAGTCAAATTTTTACTAAAGTCTAAAAATAGATTTAACTTGTTGTCAGGCTTGGAACCCTGCAGTAGAGGATCAATGTTTTGATAGGTGTCACAGACTGGGGCAGACACAAGATGTCATCATCACTAGGGTAAGTGGACAAACTAAATATGTCATCATCACTAGGGTAAGTGGACAAACTAAATATGTCATCATCACTAGGGTAAGTGGACAAACTAAATATGTCATCATCACTAGGGTAAGTGGACAGACTAAATATGTCATCATCACTAGGGTAAGTGGACAGACTAAATATGTCATCATCACTAGGGTAAGTGGACAGACTAAATATGTCATCATCACTAGGGTAAGTGGACAGACTAAATATGTTATCATCACTAGGGTAAGTGGACAAACTAAATATGTCATCATCACTAGGGTAAGTGGACAAACTAAATATGTCATCATCACTAGGGTAAGTGGACAGACACAAGATGTCATTATCACTAGGGTAAGTGGACAGACACAAGATGTCATCATCACTAGGGTAAGTGGACAAACTAAATATGTCATCATCACTAGGGTAAGTGGACAGACACAAGATGTCATCATCACTAGGGTAAGTGGACAGACACAGGATGTCATCATCACTAGGGTAAGTGGACAAACTAAATATGTCATCATCACTAGGGTAAGTGGACAGACACAAGATGTCATTATCACTAGGGTAAGTGGACAGACACAAGATGTCATCATCACTAGGGTAAGTGGACAAACTAAATATATCATCATCACTAGGGTAAGTGGACAGACACAAGATGTCATCATCACTAGGGTAAGTGGACAGACACAAGATGTCATCATCACTAGGGTAAGTGGACAGACACAAGATGTCATCATCACTAGGGTAAGTGGACAGACTAAATATGTCATCATCACTAGGGTAAGTGGACAAACTAAATATGTCATCATCACTAGGGTAAGTGGACAGACTAAATATGTCATCATCACTAGGGTAAGTGGACAGACACAAGATGTCATCATCACTAGGGTAAGTGGACAGACACAAGATGTCATTATCACTAGGGTAAGTGGACAGACACAAGATGTCATCATCACTAGGGTAAGTGGACAGACACAAGATGTCATCATCACTAGGGTAAGTGGACAGACACAAGATGTCATTATCACTAGGGTAAGTGGACAGACACAAGATGTCATCATCACTAGGGTAAGTGGACAGACACAAGATGTCATCATCACTAGGGTAAGTGGACAGACACAAGATGTCATCATCACTAGGGTAAGTGGACAGACACAAGATGTCATCATCACTAGGGTAAGTGGACAGACACAAGATGTCATCATCACTAGGGTAAGTGGACAGACACAAGATGTCATCATCACTAGGGTAAGTGGACAGACACAAGATGTCATCATCACTAGGGTAAGTGGACAGACACAAGATGTCATCATCACTAGGGTAAGTGGACAGACACAAGATGTCATCATCACTAGGGTAAGTGGACAGACACAAGATGTCATCATCACTAGGGTAAGTGGACAGACACAAGATGTCATCATCACTAGGGTAAGTGGACAGACACAAGATGTCATCATCACTAGGGTAAGTGGACAGACACAAAATGTCATCATCACTAGGGTAAGTGGACAGACTAAATATGTCATCATCACTAGGGTAAGTGGACAAACTAAATATGTCATCATCACTAGGGTAAGTGGACAGACTAAATATGTCATCATCACTAGGGTAAGTGGACAGACACAAGATGTCATCATCACTAGGGTAAGTGGGCAGACTAAATATGTCATCATCACTAGGGTAAGTGGGCAGACTAAATATGTCATCATCACAAGGGTAAGTGGACAGACACAAGATGTCATCATCACTAGGGTAAGTGGACAGACACAAGATGTCATCATCACTAGGGTAAGTGGACAGACACAAGATGTCATTATCACTAGGGTAAGTGGACAGACACAAGATGTCATCATCACTAGGGTAAGTGGACAGACACAAGATGTCATCATCACTAGGGTAAGTGGACAGACACAAGATGTCATTATCACTAGGGTAAGTGGACAGACTAAATATGTCATCATCACTAGGGTAAGTGGACAGACACAAGATGTCATCATCACTAGGGTAAGTGGGCAGACTAAATATGTCATCATCACTAGGGTAAGTGGGCAGACTAAATATGTCATCATCACTAGGGTAAGTGGACAGACACAAGATGTCATCATCACTAGGGTAAGTGGGCAGACTAAATATGTCATCATCACTAGGGTAAGTGGGCAGACTAAATATGTCATCATCACTAGGGTAAGTGGACAGACACAAGATGTCATCATCACTAGGGTAAGTGGGCAGACTAAATATGTCATCATCACTAGGGTAAGTGGACAGACACAAGATGTCATCATCACTAGGGTAAGTGGACAGACTAAATATGTCATCATCACTAGGGTAAGTGGACAGACACAAGATGTCATCATCACTAGGGTAAGTGGACAGACACAAGATGTCATTATCACTAGGGTAAGTGGACAGACACGAGATGTCATCATCACTAGGGTAAGTGGACAGACTAAATATGTCATCATCACTAGGGTAAGTGGACAGACACAAGATGTCATCATCACTAGGGTAAGTGGACAGACACAAGATGTCATCATCACTAGGGTAAGTGGACAGACACAAGATGTCATCATCACTAGGGTAAGTGGACAGACACAAGATGTCATCATCACTAGGGTAAGTGGACAGACACAAGATGTCATCATCACTAGGGTAAGTGGACAGACACAAGATGTCATCATCACTAGGGTAAGTGGACAGACACAAGATGTCATCATCACTAGGGTAAGTGGACAGACACAAGATGTCATCATCACTAGGGTAAGTGGACAGACACAAGATGTCATCATCACTAGGGTAAGTGGACAGACACAAGATGTCATCATCACTAGGGTAAGTGGACAGACACAAGATGTCATTATCACTAGGGTAAGTGGACAGACACAAGATGTCATCATCACTAGGGTAAGTGGACAGACACAAGATGTCATCATCACTAGGGTAAGTGGACAGACTAAATATGTCATCATCACTAGGGTAAGTGGACAGACTAAATATGTCATCATCACTAGGGTAAGTGGACAGACTAAATATGTCATCATCACTAGGGTAAGTGGACAGACTAAATATGTCATCATCACTAGGGTAAGTGGACAGACTAAATATGTCATCATCACTAGGGTAAGTGGACAGACTAAATATGTCATCATCACTAGGGTAAGTGGACAGACTAAATATGTCATCATCACTAGGGTAAGTGGACAAACTAAATATGTCATCATCACTAGGGTAAGTGGACAAACTAAATATGCCATCATCACTAGGGTAAGTGGACAGACACAAGATGTCATTATCACTAGGGTAAGTGGACAGACACAAGATGTCATCATCACTAGGGTAAGTGGACAAACTAAATATGTCATCATCACTAGGGTAAGTGGACAGACACAAGATGTCATCATCACTAGGGTAAGTGGACAGACACAGGATGTCATCATCACTAGGGTAAGTGGACAAACTAAATATGTCATCATCACTAGGGTAAGTGGACAGACACAAGATGTCATTATCACTAGGGTAAGTGGACAGACACAAGATGTCATCATCACTAGGGTAAGTGGACAAACTAAATATGTCATCATCACTAGGGTAAGTGGACAGACACAAGATGTCATCATCACTAGGGTAAGTGGACAGACACAAGATGTCATCATCACTAGGGTAAGTGGACAGACACAAGATGTCATCATCACTAGGGTAAGTGGACAGACTAAATATGTCATCATCACTAGGGTAAGTGGACAAACTAAATATGTCATCATCACTAGGGTAAGTGGACAGACTAAATATGTCATCATCACTAGGGTAAGTGGACAGACACAAGATGTCATCATCACTAGGGTAAGTGGACAGACACAAGATGTCATTATCACTAGGGTAAGTGGACAGACACAAGATGTCATCATCACTAGGGTAAGTGGACAGACACAAGATGTCATCATCACTAGGGTAAGTGGACAGACACAAGATGTCATCATCACTAGGGTAAGTGGACAGACACAAGATGTCATCATCACTAGGGTAAGTGGACAGACACAAGATGTCATCATCACTAGGGTAAGTGGACAGACACAAGATGTCATCATCACTAGGGTAAGTGGACAGACACAAGATGTCATCATCACTAGGGTAAGTGGACAGACACAAGATGTCATCATCACTAGGGTAAGTGGACAGACACAAGATGTCATCATCACTAGGGTAAGTGGACAGACACAAGATGTCATCATCACTAGGGTAAGTGGACAGACACAAGATGTCATCATCACTAGGGTAAGTGGGCAGACACAAGATGTCATCATCACTAGGGTAAGTGGACAGACACAAGATGTCATCATCACTAGGGTAAGTGGACAGACACAAGATGTCATCATCACTAGGGTAAGTGGACAGACACAAAATGTCATCATCACTAGGGTAAGTGGACAGACTAAATATGTCATCATCACTAGGGTAAGTGGACAAACTAAATATGTCATCATCACTAGGGTAAGTGGACAGACTAAATATGTCATCATCACTAGGGTAAGTGGACAGACACAAGATGTCATCATCACTAGGGTAAGTGGGCAGACTAAATATGTCATCATCACTAGGGTAAGTGGGCAGACTAAATATGTCATCATCACAAGGGTAAGTGGACAGACACAAGATGTCATCATCACTAGGGTAAGTGGACAGACACAAGATGTCATCATCACTAGGGTAAGTGGACAGACACAAGATGTCATTATCACTAGGGTAAGTGGACAGACACAAGATGTCATCATCACTAGGGTAAGTGGACAGACACAAGATGTCATCATCACTAGGGTAAGTGGACAGACACAAGATGTCATTATCACTAGGGTAAGTGGACAGACTAAATATGTCATCATCACTAGGGTAAGTGGACAGACACAAGATGTCATCATCACTAGGGTAAGTGGGCAGACTAAATATGTCATCATCACTAGGGTAAGTGGGCAGACTAAATATGTCATCATCAC